CAGCCTCCCAAGTAGCTGGGACCACAGGCGCCTGCCACAACGCCCGGCTATTTTTTGGTTGCAGGCGTCATTGTTGTTTTGGCGGGCCTCGGCTGGATTCAAACCTGCCACCTTAGGTGTATGTGGCTGGCGCCTTAGCCACTTGAGCCACAGGTGCCGAGCCCATGTCATTGCTTTTAAGCACTATAAATGACAGAACTAAAAATACTATTTTAAAAAAATTTTGTATTTATACTGAGCTCCAATTCAAATCCAAAATGACAGGGCTTGTCTTTTCCTCCTCCCATTATATATGTACATCCTTTGCTTCTAGTGAAAACTCTGGTTCTTAACAACATCAATGTAATTATTCATTTCCTAAATCCTAAAAATATCACAAAATAATTTTAGAATTATAGCTGTCTAATCCTACTAACAACAAACCTACTTTGTAGTTCTTAGTGTCTTCCTACATATCCCATTGAAGATATATAAACTACTATGTTTAAAAATTGCTTAAATTATTTTTTTATTTTTGTCTGTGATTTTAAATTTGAAATGTGATTAAGTTTCTGTTTAACTCAAGTGTTCTTTTCTGTCAAATTTTATGGTCCTTTTTTCTTCAGCTTCACTGATTAATTTTTATTTGTTGACTCTGTAATATATCAGCATAATTCAAAATCAAAAGTATATAAAAAATATACTCAGGGGAATCTCATTCGATTTTGTAACTACTCCACTGCTTCACTCAGTGCTATAAGTAACCATTTTCATTAGTTTCTTGTCCATCTTTCCTATGGTTCTTATTATAAAAACAAGTGGATTATTTTCCTCTTTTTTTCTTAAGCTAAGGTCTCCCTTTTTCAGGCTGGAGTATAATGACTTAAACATAGCTCACTACAGCCTTGGAACTCTTGGGCCCAAGTAATTCTCTGTAGCTAGGACTATAGGTATGTGCCACTGTGCCCAGCTAAGTTTTCAAAAAACTTTTTGTGGAGACAAGGTATTGCTGTGTTGTTTAGGCTGATCTTGCACTTTTAGCCTCAAGTGATCCTCCCCACCTTGGGCTCCCAAAGTGATGTGATTACAGGTGTGAGCCACCATGCCTGGCCAAAAATAATGAAATATTTTAAAGCAGAAATGCAAGAAGCTCAGATATCCCTAAACAGAATTAAAAAAAAAAAAGCAAATGTATACTTGTCATGTTTGGACCTCTGGAAAACAAAGATAAAGACAAAAATCACAAAGGAAGACATCATAGAAAAAAAAAGACACAAAAACACATTATATACAAAGGAACAAAGATAAGAATTATAGTAGCCTTCCCATCAGAAATCATGGAAACCAGAAGAGACAAGATGATAACATCCTAAAGAGTGAAAGTAAAAGCTGTCAACTCAGAATCCTCATTGAAAATATCTTTCACAAATGAAGGAAAATTAAGATATTCTTAGACAAATACAAGATGATTGAATTCCTTGCCAACAGATACACTATAAAAAAGGCTAGTTTTGGGTAAGTCTTTGAGAAAGAAGGAGTATACCAGATGGAAACTTGAAGCTACTCAGAGATATAAAAAAAGCTTCAGAAATAATTAAAATGAAGATAAATACAAAAGCATTTTCTTTCATTTTTAATTGTTCTTCAAGATAAATGGCTATAGCAAAATATAGTAGCAGGAATTTTAGACTTATAGCATATGTAAAAAGAAAAATGTGTAATGATAATAGAACAAAAATTGGAGGGAGAAATTAGAAACTCACTATTGTAAGGTTCTTACCTGTAAGAGAGTACACAGAAATAAATTGAAGAATGTGTTATAAACTCAAGTGCAATAATTACAAAATTTTAAAAATATAGTAGTCCTGCCTTATCCATAGTTTCTACTTTTGACAGTTTCAATTACCTGCATTCAACCAGTCCAAAAATATAAAATGAAAATTTCCAGAAATAAACAATTCATGAGTTTTAAACTATATACTATCCTGAATAGTGTGATAAAAATCCTGAGCCATCCTGCCCTATCCTGTCCCATCCTGCCCTGGATGTAAATCATCCTTTTGCCCACCATATTCATGCTGTATATGCTACCCACTTAACAGTCACTTAGTAGCCATCGAAGTTATCAGATTGACTATTGCAATGTTGCAATATTTGTGTTCATGTAATCCTTATTTTAATTAATAATGGCCCCAAAGCACCAGAGTAATGATGCTGTCTATTTGGATATGCCAAAGAGAAGCTGTAATGTGTTTCTTTGAAGAAAAAAGGTGAAAGTTTTTGACTTAATACAGAAAGACAAAAACCATATGCCGAGGTTGCTAAGATCTACTGTGCACTGAGATATTTTGAGAGGGAAAGAGATCACATTTACCTGTTATTATGGCATATTATTATAATTGTTCTATTTTACTATTGTTGATAATCTCTTACTGTGCCTAATTTGTAAATTTAACTTTATCATAGGTGTGTATGTACAGGAAAAATGTATAGTATATACGTATAAGGTTGAGTCCTATCTGTGGTTTCAGACATCCACTGGGGATCTAACATATACCCCATGAATAGGGGAGGACTACTGTAGGTATAATAGTAAGAGAATAGAATATGTAAAATTTAGTTATGAAAAATAATTGATCCAAAAGCAGATGAAAAGAAAAGGAAAGGGACAAAAAAGAGATGGAACAGTAACTAGAAAAATGCTATATTTTTAATTTAGCCATATTAATAACTATACTAAATGTAAATGGTTTAAACACACCAACTAAAAGACAAAGATATTAGGTAAGATAGTAAGATTCATCTGTGTGGTTTGTACAAGAAACCCACTTTAAATCAAAAGACGTAGGTTAAAAGTTTAAAAAAAAATGGACACTATCCTGTATTAGTGGTCTGAAAGTTCTAGTTTTTTTAATATCCTTGTCAATACTTTGTATTGCCTGTCTTTCATTTTGCCTATTCTAGCAGAGTTTTAGTGGTATTTCATTGTACCTTTGTTTGTATTTCCCTGAACAAAACCAAAGTTGAGTATCATTTTATTTTTTTTTTATTAGCCATTGGATATCTTTTAAGACTTTGGTTTTTATTTCTTTTGTACCCATTTTCCATAGTGTTATCTTTTTTTAGGATTTGTAGTTCATCGTATGTTAGAGGCATAATCTGTGCCTTGACTCTGCTGACTTATTTATAGTGCCATTCTATATTTGTGCTTGGTGATTGCTCGTTGTTCTCAATTTGTAAGAAGACTCTAAGTCTAAATATATTAAGGCTGTCTTCAAAAGGGATTTTCTTTTGCTCCCACTGATATCTGGGGAATGCTACTGGTGTAGAGCCCTCTTCTCCTTGAGAATAAGTGCTCAGCAAAGTTTTATGTAATCTAAATATCACCTTGTTGCTGGCCCAAGAGTTGTTTATAATTGGGAGAGTGATGCTGCTCTTAATGTCATCTTTACGGCAGCTTCTTCTCCCTAACTCCTCAAGTGCAGGCTATAGCTCTCTGCCTGTCTAGCCACAGCTCATGGCTTCTGTTTATGCTTGTCTTTAAAAAAAAAAAAAAAAGTCAGTCATAATGTTAGAAATGAAAGAATATTTCTTTATTATTTTCCACATTAAATATATACATAAAATAAATTTAAAATGTTTTGAAGTCATGCTGATATTGGCAATAAATTTCCTGAATATATTTATAATTATCAAACTTATTTGATATTAACAATGTTGTTAACTATTTGCTTAAGGTTTATTGTTTATATTGCCTATGTAAGTTTTCTGTGAGAGACATCAAAATATGCCAATTCCAAATTATGCAACATTGGCATAATGATTATTTTGACCTAAAGGCAGTTAAGACTCAACAGATGCCACAAGAGTTCTCTACCCTCTTAGCCGTTACATGTGCCTAGAAGTAAGGCATAGATTGCCCTTTGAGGAAGGTTCCCACCTTATACCAGGGAGACAGGACCTACTATTATCATTAAAGACAGAGCCAACACCAAAATGAGTATACATAAACAGACTTCAATAAAATAGCCCTTATCTTTCATTACTTTACCCATATATTTTCATGCTTCTTAGTCACTTGAAGCCTGGTAAAAAAAAAAAATGCAAAAAATTTAACATAAATACTTGTCTTTTTTAAGAGTCATTTCTAGGTTAATTTCCTTACAGTGATAACACTGAAAGGACTTCCTATTTTAGGCTCAGCTGCCCTTTTTGATTTGTCACTGTGAATCTCCTGTTTGTTGGAAAATATGCCTGTTTTAAAGATAGCTACATGGCCCCTATATCCAGAAACTTCATTCTGGTGTGGTCATTTCAAACGTGGTCTCCCATAAACTTGTTTTAATAGGTCCAAACCCTTTTCCCTTTAGTAAAAAGGTAAATAAACCCAAGTCTAACCTCTTCAACTCTAACCTATTATTGTGAACCCCAAAGGCATGAAAAAATTATATGCTTTATTCCTGCTGAAAAATTAGAAATATTCAAAGAACTAAAGACTTAATTGGAGAAAAGAAACATTGATGTTACTTTCTTACTTCCAAATTAAAGTATATTTTAATTATGTATGTATACACATAAAGTTAGAGTTCAGTTTTATAAAGAAACTCAGAGGTCATTTATTTTCTATACTTAAAAGTTTTCAGGTGAGAGTCAGATGAGCTAAATGTTTTAACCGAGGTTATTCAGCTTATTTGTGGTCGGGACTAAAACAGAAGTCTTTATACACATATGTAGCATTATGACATTTTTTTCCCACTAACTTATGTTGCTCTTCTAATTTTTGTAAATTAGCAAATGTCTATTATTTATTGAGTCTACCTTTTTTCTTTATAAAATATTTCTTTCTCAAAATTTTATATGGTTCTTATTGAATTTTAGAGAATTAAAATTTCCAAAAACTTTGGTTCTAACTTGAAATTATGATTATAGAAGCCACAAAACTGTCACTCTCTGTGTAATAAAATTTATGATAAAATGGTGTATTATTAAACTAATAGGGTGAATTTTTACTTTTAAACTAGACTTAAAAAAGAATTAGAACTGTATAAGGAAGATGACTTGGAAAGTGTTTATGAAGCTCTCCAAACAGAAATAGAATTTTTGGAGCTGGTAAGGCATCATCAATTAACCTTATGTTCAATACTGTTTTATCTACTGGTAAGACTATTTTTACTGGTATACATTTCACTGAACTAGTGCTTTGTTCCTCTGCAAAAACCAGAAAGCAGTAATGAGCAAAACTAAAGTCAGGATATACATCTATGGAGTATTTTGAGTTCCTGAAGAGTTAGGTGCTACATAAAGCAAAGTATATTCAAAGAGAATATGTATAATTTCAAACTAAGTTAAAAAAATCAGATGTGACCTCTCAACTTTTCCATGACTAAAACTGTCATTAGAGAATTAATGCACTGAAGAATTTTAACTATCATAATGCTTAAAAGCTTTTTGGTTTTGATAGGCATAAATTATACTTTTATTATATTTGATCCTAAAACTTTCTTATTATATATTTTTATGATCTGAAAAACCTTGAAGTCAATTATTAGAAACTTACTTTCAAATTATGTGAGAGCACTTTAAATTGCTTTAACCTCTTACTTTGGTTGTTTATAAAATGAACACAGTATTTCATATACTCTAATTTAATAGAAGACATAGCTTTTAAGTATATTAAAACATAACATTTTGTTTTATGTTTTTTTTCTGTAAACATTTTTGTTTACAAATATTCTAATAGGTTATATTTGAATTTATATGTCAGTAAAATCTTTCAGTGGTTCATTCCTGTAATCCTAACACTCTGGGAGGCCTAGGCAGGTGGATTGCCTGAGCTCACAGGTTTGAGACCAGCCTGAGCAAGAGTGAGACCCCATCTCTAAAAATAGCCGGGCATTGTGGTGGGCGCCTGTAGTCCCAGCTACTTGGGAGTCTGAGGCAAGAGAATTGCATAAACCTGAGTTTGAGGTTACTATGAGCTGTGAAGCCACAGCACTCTACAAAGGGTGACAAAGTGAGATTCTGACTCAATAAACAAATAAATAAATAAAATCTTTCAAAAGCAAAATTTAGAACTACAAGAGTTATTGTTTGACTAAATTTAGATAAATTTTATGTAATTCTTAATTAACAATTTGGTTTTCCTTATGAATAGTTATTACATGTTTTCTTTCCAGACATTGGCACAGAAAAATCTTCATAAAAACAACTTCTAGAGAATTGATCAGCCATCTGAAACCTGATCAAGGCATCTTAGTATCCCATCTCTGTGAAAGATACATGAATGGTACCCATTACAACAGATTCTTTGGAGAACATGAGGCTCAGAATATTCAAAGTTCCTAATATCTAGAATTAATTTATTAGCACTGCAATAGTAATTTTGCCTTTGTTGCTTCCTAGAACTTGAATTCTAGGCAAAAAATTCTTGTGTGGTTTGATTTTGTTTCTAAAGATAAAGGACAAGTAGTAGATACTTGTTCCCAGGTTTTTTATATTCCTCTGACTATACTTTTCATTCTTTGTTGTAGCTTTACATAGGTCCAGTCAAATGCATGTAGGTGGAAATGCTCAGATTATTGACCCAATTTTTTTGTTGGTGCCATTTTTGCCAACAGAAGCACCTACTAACAGAGATGCTTACTTTCATTTTAATCCTGCTCTAATCGTTGGATGTCTGTTGACAGAGGTCCTCTGAAACCCTTCATCTGCCATAGCCAGTTTTTTTTTGCTTTCCCCTGTGTGTCTAGAGTTAAAGTCTGGGGCACCTGCAGTTGTTTTTTCAGCAGTTTGTGCCTGCCAATTTTCTTCCTAATGCCAATGTTAGTTGGAATGAAATAAGTTATCCACTGGGGAGGTACATAATTTCCTTACAGCCATCAGTATTCATTTTCTCTGGTGGCCTGAAGCACTGCAACTGAAAACAGTGTATTATGGTTATATCAAACTTAGTATTGCTACCAGATTTCCAACATTACTTATCTTTTTGCTGTTAGCACTCCTAACTAGATAGAAAGTCTGTTATCTAAAATTTGGTGTATCAAAACGATTTAACAAGGTCCCAGATTGGGGTAGGTCAAGGAGGAGAACAAAATTTACTTGGGGATATATTTCAAAATACCAAGTGCTAATGTTAGAACCATGTTGTCCTTTGTGGTTATAGCTGAATTAATGTCAAATATGAAATGTTTACAGATGCCTTATATCTACTGATGTTAAGGTCTGTCTAAGTCTCAGAGCAGAACCCAAGTAAACCTTATTTCAGAGTAAGTCTTATTTTGACATAGCTTTTTTGTATAAGTTGTTTAACACTCTTATTTTTTAAAAATTAGCAAAGTTAAAACACTCTCTTTTGGAATAGGTAGCAATTGCCTTCTTTTCAAATAATTTGCATTTTCAGAAGTAATTGCTATTTTTATTTTTTAAATATTTAAATTAATGATAAGTTATTTTTGCTTAAGAAGAAAAAATTAATGGTGCCAGGGAATTGCAATTTATTTTGTATGCAAATAGAGAGTCAAAATAGTTATTGGGATTAGTCATGATTTCATTTCTGTCTTATTTTAGTTCATTTATCTACCCACATTTCTCATCTTGTGAATCTCTATTATTATATGTATGTACTATAATATTAACATGCAGATTGAGTTTATACAGAAAGTATTTTTCACTTACTGGTAATTTTTATTCATTAATGGTTTTGTAGCTAAAATATTAATGTGAACTAGAGGTATGCTACCTGTTTGTATAGCTAACACACTGACATATGTGCAGAATAAACTTACTAATACAACTGTTCTTTCAGAACATATAGATTATCTGGATTAAATATTTAATAATAGAATCAGGATTCATGTGAATTGAATTTGAGAAAAAACTAAGGGTTCAGTATTTTCATTATTTCAAAACCCTTAAAATGCATAATTTAAGATTTAAACTAATTTTCATATAGTAAAATGAGTGATTATTTTAGCACTGCATGTAAAGTAATATAGAGCACTACCCACATGATACCTATCAAAACAACTGGAACTATTAAAATCAATGTAATCAAAGGAACAACTCCTTTGAAGCAAAGGAAACACAGCAATAGTTAGAAGTCAGTGTATTAAGCTAAACTGTGTCATCAATACAAACTATTAGTAGTAGATTGTTTTTATTTTTGTTAAGAATTAGTCATAAAATTCTTAAGTTAGGAAAATTTACTAAAATTATCTAGGTAAAAATATGTCTCAGATTGAATTTAGTTAATTAAGAAATAAGACTCTGGCTATACAGAAAGACAATTTTTTTTTTTAGACAGTTTCACTTTGTTGCCCTCAATAGAGTCCTGTGGTGTCCTAGCTTACAGCAACTTCAGTCTCTTGGGCTCAAGCAATCCTCTTGCCTCAGCCTCCCTAGTAGCTGGTACTACAGGCACCCACCACAACACCTGGCTATTTTTTAGAGATGAGGTTTCACTCTTGCTCAGGCTGGTCTCAAACTCCTGAGCTTAGGCAATCCACCCACCTCAACTTCCCAGAGGGCTAGTTATAGGCATGAGCCACTGCCCATTCGTTAAGTAAATTCATTAAATTTGTCATATGCTTAGTTATAGCCAAAATGAAAACCAACCCAAACTAACACTGATCCTGCTCAGAGATTTGTGGCAGGCCACCACAGTTTTTTGCTGTAACAGTTCTTTCAGAAGCAACTTTCTAATTCACGGTTCTCCACTGGGAGTAACATTAGAATGTATAGATGGATTGCTGCATATTTTTCCTGCTGATTAATGGAGCTATTCAGCTAGGGGAAAAACAGCAACAAAAATTATAAGATATGGAACATGACCACTGGACTAGAAATTCCTTTCTTTGTCCTAATTACTGAAATAAGAGGTAAAAGTGAAGAAAAGGAAAAGCTTTAAGGTTTGTATAATCTGGAAGATTTCTGCTATTGTTGTTTTTTCAATAGTTGTGTTTTCTTCTGTAAAAGAAACTAAAATTAAGAAGCACTTTGCCTGCCTGCCTTTTTTTTCTTAGAACTTGAAAAATCATGATGAGATTCTGAAAAGTCTACAATAAGGGTGAAGTCTCTGTTTTATAGGGAATTGGAATCTGAAAATGTCTTAAGACAAAAGTCAATTGGGATTGGTAATTTATTGTTGAGTGGAGATTATGCTGTGAAAAATCCACTCAGCCTCTTACCAGAAGGGCAAGCAGTAATTCAGCTGGCCAGCTGCTGATGGACAGACAGCACGCACTGGACAGGCCCTGTTCTAAGCTTTTGCTGAGGACAAAGTCTCTTTCTATTTTAAACCAATCAATCACATAACTGTGTCATACTATTATGAATAAATTATTCATTTGCAGCCCAGAAAACAGTAGCAGTTCAGTGACATGATTAGAAATAAATATGAGACAATTTTAATTCTCATACCAGGCTAAGGTGTTCTGTCATTCAAATATTTATTTACAGTGTAAAATTTGAAATTGCCCAATGTACTAAAAAGTGTTTTAACATTTGAAGCTGATCTTTTTTAGGTGAACTTTTATGTTTCTTTTTTGACCCATCTTCTTTCCTTTATAATCCTGAAATACTTAAAAGAAAATATATTTGCCTCTCAGAATCTAGTGCGGAATGTTTTCCATCAAGGGAATTTTTCAGGATGTGAACTAAAAATGAAAAAAAAAAATTTGTCATTAGCCTGAAGCAGAGATTAAGTCTTGGATTTTTGTGGTTCTTTTATCTTAAAACAACATATTTTCTTTTTAATGAAAGATTGGAAAGAACAAAGTTATCTTTGAAAATGTTTGAATGAAAAATGTATAGTCAGTTATATTGGTGTTTTCTAAACATTGTATTTCCAAGTTAAGTTTTTGTTTCTTTGAATGTTTGCTAATGGTCAAACCATCATGCCAGTGAAGAAGCTTTGTTTTCTTCTAGATTTTACTGACATTTGACAAAAGAGTAATACTGAGACAGCATTGACCACTGCATAAAGGAAATAGTGTAATATTGCAAGCTTTTCCTTGCTGCATAAAGAGAATCAGAATTTTGTTTGTTGGTTGGTCATGTGTGGAGAATCACGTTTACTAAACATAAGGAAAAGATTCACAGGGTGTTGCTCATTGTGGAACATATACTTTGATCGGAAGAAGAAAGCGTAACAGAGAAAGCTGGGACTGATGGTAAAGTGCTCTCCCAGCTGCTGCTGTGAAAAGTATCAAGAGCAAACCTGTCAGAAATAGATGCTTATTTAAACAACTGGCTTTGACACACAGCGATTTGTCTTTAAAAGGCTTTGATATAATCAACAGCACCAGAATTTCAATATCTGGGAAAAGAACGAGTAGGTAAAAATGTGAAATTAATAACAGCTACTGATATAAGTAGCTATTTCAAACAAGGCTTATTGAGTGGAAGAAAATGATTTTATTGTTTTCTTAGAACCAGAAGAACTACATTACTTTAATAATTCTAAGTTAATTATTTTAATACTTGTAATAAATTTTCATTCTAATTAGTTGGTAAATAAGATGTTGTTAAAATAAGATCCTCTTAATCTACATTTAACAGATGCAAATACAATTACTAATGAATATTTCTGGATATGGCTTTGTGATTACTGAAAGTACTTGCAATTTCAAGCCAACATTAAATGGTATGGTTGTTGAAACAGTTTATTGTGGACTTTAGACAAAAATGCTGAATGGGAATAGGTGGTGTAGGGGTAGTTACAGAGTCAGGGTAATCCAACTCTAAAATCTGGAGACCATTAATATTAGTGAAATACCAAAGTTATATTTATAAAAATGATTTTACATGATAAATTCAAAGCTTGTTAGCTCTTTATTGAGATTCTAGTTGGAGCCACATATATATCCCACTTTTTATAGGAGGAACTGAGATTTTGATTGATGATCTGATATATGTCAGGTCACAAAGAGCAATCAGCCTCTTTATTTGCAGTTTAATTGCTTTGGTTTCAGTTGTAACATATCTGAAAAAATATTACTTTTGAAAATTTGTAATAAAATCTTACACAACAAGTAAATACTAGAAGATAATAGGAAATGTGAGAATTATTTAAATCACTCTTTGGTACCAGAAAACATTGATTAATCACAATCAGCAAATATGAGTCTTTAACTTAGAATATCTTTCCACACTCTTTGAGAAGAAAGGGGCAATAAATCAATACAAAACAGACCCAAATCAAGTATTATTGAAAGTT